ACATTTTAATTTTGTCAAATCTGTTTTCCAAAGGAAAACTGTTCCATCAGAAAATTTTGATCATCTGTCGTCTGACCATAAGGAAATCTAGGACATCCAGAACATTCATCCAGGGCATTGCACTGGCCCCCTCCACCACACTATCACAAGTCAGTGGGGCAGTATGCCGGGCAGGCAGCCGTGCCTACCTGGAAGACACTCTGCACTGCTCTGACTGCCAGCCAGACTGTGCCCTGCACCCCTGTGTTTCCAGGATGCCCATTATAATGCTCAACAGCCAGCTGGAACTGGTTTCTGAAATTGGGGACATATGGTCACCCTAGCCACCTGTAGTGTGAAGACTGCTGAAGATCACAGTGTGAAGTAGCATGTCATGCTAGTGCTACCATTGGTTGGCACTTGGGAGAATAACACTGCTTATTCTTTGCCCCCATAAGGAGACAAGTTGAAGAAGCAGTTTCTACCAGGGCCTGTAAGCCATACTGGAAGGGACCAAATTCTGTGGAGCCCAGAGGAAGATGTGGTCATGTTCTGAACATCTGTACAATGAAGATCATCTAATTTTGGCAACTCAATTTGACAGAGCTTCTTCTGTGGATAAAGCCTGGAAAAGTTCCATCAATTTGTTTTATTTTGACCCCTGGGTAAAACTGTAAGTTAAAGTATAGGATTTGACATTAGAAAGAATGGAGAATTATATCTCCAGACCTCGCCACCAGCTACAGCTGGTACTCCTAAATTGTACTCCTTTGACAATTGGCCATGAAATCCAGTGGCTGCAGACATCACATTCCTGTACACTTCAGAAGCCATACTGTTCTGTTATATTTTAAAATCTGAAGTCTTTGGCTGGTTATGCCTTTAACCATGTCCTTCATGGCCTGTGGACCCAGTTATCCATTCTTAGGTAGAAGGTGTATATTCAGTGTAAGATGCCATTCATTTGGGTCAAGAAGCTACAACATGTTGAGAAGAGGGCATGATGGCTTAGTCACTCTTTGTTGTCTATGTGAATTGTGGTAGGTGAGAGTTTGTTATTGATGTCTTGTCTGTGAAGAGTGAATTCTAGGATAATTTGTGATTGAGTATGTAGACAGGTGGGTGTTGTATACAGCAGGAAGTCAAATACAGGACAGAGACATGAGGCATCTGGTACATGTTGTCAATTATGAAGCAATATAATGATTAGAGGTAAGACTGATTCATGAATTTAGCTGGTGAATAGCTAGAAATGTAAGGAAATTATGAACATCAGGGTGCCTTCTATTTCATTTTCCAATTTTCTTACAGCTTTTCAATAAGCTTTTTTTAAAATATAGAATTCCCTAGCTGTCCAGTGTTTGCTTTTATAAAGCATAATTTTTTTTACGTTTCTTTCACTTCTGTTACTGTGTTTGCAATTTTATATTGAATTGAATTAACTTTTTATCTGGCAATTTCGTTAGCTTTTTTGATAAAGTTGTCAAGGAAGAATATTGGTACTTTGCCATATGGAAGCATTTATTTGCTACCAAGTATGTAAATTAGATTACATCCTTGATGACAGCTGTGTTAATTAGCATATCTTGGTCTCCTGCTTGGTAGAACTGAACCCAAAGTTTTTCCAAGCATCATTTGTGTACTTTTCAAAGTCCTTTAACCTCGCCAGTGCTGCCTCAAAGCCCTATTTTAGTCACTTTGGGGTTAGAAACACTTTGAAGCTTTTGAGCTCCTCAGGGGTCTTTACATGGCTATAGAGCTCTCTGGAGCTAAGAGGAGTCCCTCTGGGTCTTAAGAGATCTGCTGCACAACATGGATTCAAAATTCTGCTGAACTGCTTATGGAGCTTAAAAGCTCTGCAAGAGCCCTGAAGTTAATTAGATGAAGTTGCCAAATCTTGTCAGACACTTGGTGATCCTCACTGGAGCCTCCCAAATTTTGGCAAGGAAAAGAAGACTGCAACATGCCGATAGAAGGATCTGACCTTGCCAAGTAACCAGTGAAAAAATTCCCCACTCCTTTAAAACAGCAAAGGTGTTATTAAAATGCTTCCCAACAAGTTCAAGCTTTTGATAAATGCCAAATGGTCAAAAAGCAATATTTTGGAATCAAATGAAACAATTATCTCAAATCTGGGCAAAATACAGTAATGATCTTCTGGAACCTGAATTATTTTGTGGGAAAGGACATTTCCAAAAGATCTTAGAAAGCAGTATGTACATTAGAAATCCAACTTATTCTGAAAAGATAGCTGAAGTTTTAACCTGCAATAGAAATACAGTCACTGTGGTAGAAGTGGGCAGACTTTTCCTTGAGAATATAAACTTTCTAAAGAAAAAGACAATGATATTTACAAGGCACAAAAAATAGAGAGGGACCTGACAAATAAGACATGGATATTAGATTCAAGCTAAGTACAGACATTCAAAAAGCCTAAGGTGGAAACACTCTCACACTTTACTCAAAGCACTCTAGATTAGGTCATGAGTGAACAGAATAGAGGTTTGCTGTTAAGTGGGGGGTGCTGAGAGCATTCCCATACACCTCTCAGGAAGCTGCCAGAGAATGCAGAGCCCAGCTGAGCAGCCAAGCAGCTGGCCACCCCTGAGTGGCCATTACAGCTTGTTCCCCATGCCAGCTGTATGATGTCAGTGTCGGTGGCTAGTGGGGTTAGAGGGAGAGGGAATGGAGCCCAGGGGCAGATTAACGCATGGGCCTGTGGGGTCCAGGCTAAGGGGCCCCTGCCAATCAGTGGTCCCCTGAAGGGCAGGGGCCAGGACAAGGCCTGGGGCATGTGGAGGGGCCTGTTTTGCTCCCCAGCCTGCAGGGGAAAGTCCTGTTAAGCACTGAAGCTTGATCACATGTTAAATGCACAAGAGCCGGCAGGAGGCAGTGCCTGGGAACTTGTGTGACTGCTCCATGGGGATGGCTAGAGTGAGGTGGCAGTGAGGATCCCTGCTGCCCCTGCCACTCACTGCCCAGCTGGTCTCTCTCTCTCCCATCTCTGTGCCTAGAAGGAGCCCAATCCTGCCCTCCCTCCCTTCTTCCCTCCCATGTGTCAGGTTGCAGGGCAGGCAAGTGGCTTGGGATGGGCTGTTGGCGCACATGAAATGTCCCTAGCAATGCTGGAGCCAAATCCTTCTGCTCAGCAAAACTGTATGGAGCTCCCCTATTGTTGGCTCAGGCAGGGAACTGGGAGTCCAAATGCCCTGGAGCCTGCCTGGATATATGTGTGTGTGTGTGTGTGTGTGTGTGTGTGTTTGGTGAGACCCCAAACTGCCCCAGATCCCCGCTCAGGTCAGCGCACGGTGCTTTAGTCCCACTGCCAAGGGCTGCTTTGGGATGCAGAGAAGGGGACTCCCACTGCCCCCTGGATACTTCCTGCAGTTCTTGAACCCAAATAAGGCTGCCGATAGTGAGGGGGCTGCAGCTCTCCCAAGTGATGGCAGCTTATATGGGGAAGAGTGAGCTCTTCCAGGGGGTGATTAGATATAGATCTGTTTGTCTAACTGTCTAGAGAGGTACAGTTTATATACAGGTTTCCCTCACTTTATGCTGTACAGGCATACCTGGAGAACAGCGCATACTCAAATTCACATAAAGGAAACCCTCTTTACAATGTAACAAATAGGGATACGTTCCAAGACCTCAACTGTACTGACCCCCCAGACCCATTTCTATCACTTTTACAAGACAATTTTGGTACTCACCTACAGCAAACCGTGCACACAAGCACGGGGCACTGTCGTAAATGGGATGGTAACTATAGAAACATGTTGCAGACAATGAGCGAAGAGCAAAGATCCACACGGGAGACTATATCTTGGTGCGTGTCACTCCCACAATGCACTGCACAAAGCAGCTGACTGTGGGCTTCCACCACACTGATCACATAGGAGTGAATTTACCTTGCATATAATAAATTTGGGGTATAAAAATCATTGCATAAGAGTGAATTTGCACATGCAGAGCCCACATAAAGTGAGGGAAATCTATTTAGAGAAAGATTGTGTATATGTGTGTATATGTATATATACAGATATCTAAATAGATTATTTATACACACACACACACACACATATATATATATATATAGAGAGAGAGAGAGAGAGAGAGAGAAAGAGAAAGAGAGAAATTCTGTGTGCGTATGTATGTATATATCAATATAACCATACATTTGGGTTCCATAATTATGTGATGGTAGCATTAAAACACAGGTGTAATGGGTATATAAAAGAGAGAGATTTACAGTACATGAAGTTTAGCACACGTTTAACAGTTCAGGAATGATAAAAAAAATAATTGAGATGCATTGTGTAGGCCTACTGCTTTATCTCATTGCAAGAATCACTAATGGGATTCTTAGTACCATTAGTGTACTCAAAGCTATTGGTATGGCCTGTATTTTTCTTGTACTAGTTTACTGTAGTATAGGTACAATGTAAAATGTGTATTTAAAAAAAAAGTCAACCAAGAGTCTACATGACCACTAAACTAAAACACCATTATTTTTGTGTTATTATCCATTTATGGTGAGCCTATGTATACTGTTGTATTATGCTTGTGTTGTATAATGCTTGCTTGCTCCCGAGTGACCAGCTATCATTTTGAGAAGTACACATTGTTCGTGCCCAGATAAGCAACCACAGAGTACTAACTGTTCACTCCCAGATAAGCAGCCGCAGCCATTGCGTATCTTGTCACGCTATTGCCGTAACTGTTGGGCACTTCCTCAAACCCAGGGAGAGACTCAAACCCGGGGGGAGACCACCATATAAGGGAACGAACAGAATAATAGAAGCCAATTGGCTCACGGGGATACTGAGAATTGTGTCAGTCTTATAAAACAACCAAGGAATCTGGAAGAGAACACTTCGGAGTCCGAGACTGAACGATAGGGTGGAATCTGGCCAATTCTATCCCAGACTCGCGAACGCCCACCGATATCCAAAACCCAGGGCGACCCCTCCGTATCCCGAACGAGTGATCTCTCCCAGGGGAGCGAATAACTGCAGTATCTGAAACAGCTTTAAGAAAACTGAGCCTCACTGTCAATGTGAGTACAAAAATAAAACTTTTTTGCATTTCGCTTTAAGTGCCGAGGGACTCTGCCTCAGTGTTATTATCTCCTCGTTCTCGCCCAGAGCATTTAACTCCACCGCACGCGACTTATACGAGTTATTTTCCTAAGGCACCTCCAGTGCCTGCCACTTTAAGGTTCTAGGTGGCAGTGGAGCAGCCAGCAGGTGGGTGCTAGCCTCATGAGTGGGTTACCAACACTGAAAGGGAGTGGGGCCAGGCAAGCCCAGTGTTGGGGCTGCCTGAGCCCAATGTAGGGGCCAGGCATGGCAGCAGCCACCTGAGCCTATATGGTGGAAGACTCCAGTGCAGGGGGCCAGGCACAGTGGCAGCCACCTGAACCCCACTGGGTGAAAGGCCCAGTGAGGGGCCAGGGGTGTAAAGCAGCCCAGTGAGGGGCCAGCAGCGTAATGCGGCCCAGTGAGGTGCTGATGAAGTGCTGATGATTCTTCCTCCCCTTGGAAGGAAGCTACTGTGTCCAGTTGTGGGCACCGCACTTCAGGAGGGATGTGGACAGCATTGAGAGGGTCCAGAGGAGGGCCACTCGCATGATTAGGGGGCAGCAAGGCAGGCCCTACGAGCGAAGGCTACGGGACCTGAACCTGTTCAGTCTCCACAAGAGAAGGCTGAGAGGGGATCTGGTGGCCGTCTGTAAACTTGCCAAGGGGGACCAGCAGGCTATGGGAGAGTCCCTGTTCCCCCGAGCACTACCAGGAGTAGCAAGGAATAACGGCCATAAGTTGACTGAGAGTAGATTCAGGCTAGGTATCAGGAGGCACTACTTCACAGTCAGGGCGGCTAGGATCTGGAACCAACTTCCAAGGGAAGTGGTGCTCGCTCCTACCCT